GCTTTCAGTCTTTGCTGAGTGGGCAGTGGCAATGATTTGCATACCAAATGACCTTGGTCCCCATAGTTGATTGGGCCAGGAATGTGCATCTGACCCAATGGTGCCTCTTTCTATCGGCTCAATTAGCCAATATATGACTTGGGTGACTAGTTACAAGATACTAGCTGAGTGAAATTCCTCTTTTGGGATTTCAGAATAGAGAAGCAGAGTCTCAGACCATTAATGTACAGAAGGGTCAGCAGGGATGATGGGCAGGGGCAAGCTGCAGTTATGAGAGAGCAGACACTGTGAGTACGCAGGGGAGCTGGTGAGCCGGGAGCGCAGAGAGAAGGACGGAAGCTGAGGCACCGCGGGAAAGGGCTCTGCCGTGCTTTCTCCGGTTCCTTAAGAGTATCACCTGAGGCCTGGACCTACTATGATTTCTATTGTCAGACTTGCTGCATTATTATAAACAAACAAAACAACCCTAGTCTGAGCAAACCTCTCCTTCCTGGGATAAACTGGCCGAAGAGTTACATGTAGCAGGCATGCCCTTCTGATGTTTTGATGAGACATTTGGAAGAAAGCAGCACTGTAACCAGGAGCAGCAATATGCAGTCCCACAGTCCATGTTTATTCCTCCTTTTTAAAGCACCAGATTAGGGAAAAAAGGAAAGGCAAAGTTATACCCCTGTTTCCTTTGGGAGCAGAAGAAAACAATGATGAACTTCTTGGGTCAAAACCAGTCTTTATATAAAAACTGATTGATCTCTGCCAACATAATTTCAGAAATAAAAAGTAATTGACTAAAAATGACTATGATAAGTGACATAACATTGTCTGAAGCTTATCGATGGTGGTGTAATCAAACCACCCTTTAAATGCTGTGTTCCTAGCCAGCTGGCGTTGGATTTGCCAGCTGTGGGGACCAGAGGGATTGCTGAAGGTCTCCAGGCTGCTTGTCACATGACCACGTGACTCTCTCAAAATGGAATTAATATGTAAATGTATTAAAGATTTATAGGTAAGAAACAACATTAGGCACATGTAATTAATAGTCTGAATATAGACTCCTATCAGCCAGCACCTTTATTCATGTCTCCCAGTACCCCTATAAAATGTATTCAGTGGGGAACTTCTTCCTGTTGATAGTCAGGTTAAAACCAGGCAGTGTCAGGACTCTCTTGAGCATTCTCAAGCAAGAGAAAGTCCCATCATCACTTCAAATTGTGTTAGTGCATTAATTCATATGTCATAATCAAAACTGGGAACCTAGCTTAAAATTCAGTCTTACCCTTCTCTCCATAAGAGGCCATGTACAGGGAGGAACGTGTGGAAGGGGAAGGTCTTTCTCTCCTTGCCCTTGGCAGCTTCTGATTCTTCTAGGGTCGGGAGGGGAAGCGGGAGAGGAGGGGTGTTGTCTGCTGCAGTTTTAAGATGGCCTCCAGCTTTCTGGGCCTGGTAGACATTTAAAACAGACCACATTTCAGAGAGGCTTTTGTGGGTTCTTGGGAGCTTGCACTCATAGCTGGTGATGTCTCACGTGCAGTTCCCTGGATTTAGGCTAATGCGCTCTCTGCTTGAGCAGCCACTTACTTCCTCAGCCCCTAGGAACCTAGTGGTTTCCCTAGCGGCTTTCCCTCTTCTAAGTCTTGGCCGCACTTAAGGCTGCCCCCAGCCAGCTCTTGCTCATGACCGACCCAGGCCTGACCCATAAAGAAACACACATACCCATCCTTCCCCTCGTCACACTCGGAGCAACGGAGGCTCCCCTTCCGTCTGCACCAGAAGTAGCTTGCTAGCTCACCTTTCACATGATTTGCCAGAATGGAGCTGGACCACTGCATTCTTCCTACCCAGGGACGTACATTAAGCTGTCTGATGAGTCCCATTTATATCCCTTTCTTTTGACATTAGGTGACCCTAACCTTTTACTTTGGTGGAAACTGAAAACACACTTTTCTTTAAATTAAAAGAAATCCTCCAAATATCCTCTCTTCAATCTCCAGCAATTCTATGTGATCTGGTCTTTCCTTTGGGATATAGCACCTATTGTTTTGGTGCCTCAGCCAACAGCTTAGTGTTAACACCCTGTAAGTATAATGGGTTTTTGTTTACTTGTTTAAAATCCAAGGTCAGAAGTTGTTTGGATGAAGTCCTCACACTTCCTGTACACCATTGTCCTACTCAGGCAACAAGCGCTCCACAAGAACAAGCCCCCGGGGTCTCTGGCCAGCCCTGCTCTCTGAAGGGAACCAATGGACTCTCTCCTCCTTAGCTTAGCAGACTTTGAGCTAAGTTCCTAGTTGGAACTTTTCCAACTAGTGGCCCAGGAGAAGGACCAGCAACCCCAGGACACGGGCCACGTAGCCCTCATACTACGTGGAGGAAGGGGGTAAGAGGAACGCAGGGAGCCCCCACAGGGAGATCTTTCTGGCCCCCTCTCCCTGGCTGTGTTGAAGGTTGATGTGGACACCAGCCCCCAGTGTCCGTGTCATTATGGATGAAATGAGACATTCACATGGACTGCCGAGTCCGGTGGAGGAAAAGGAACAGTATGGCTTTTCTCTCAAGGGGAGCAAAAGCCTTGGCCCTTGCCATGACTGGCCTTTATTTGGGTTTCTCTGCACGTTATATGATGGTCCTCATTTATTATGCACAGGTTGCTTTAGGTGGTTACCTTTTACAGAAAACAAAGGAGCCAATGCCATTAGTCACATCACACAAGAAGGATATTTGCAAATGAAAAGGGCAAAAGTGGTCCAACCAGTTACACTGGTACTTGGAAGGTTTAGCATGGATTTTAGGAAGTTACTTTGCAGTAAATGTTTGCCACTGGGGGCTGGGCCTACACCATGCAGAATGGTCTCCTACAGAAGATGTGATCATCCTGCAGGGCTTCTAGAAGGGACTACCGGGTTTCATGTGCTTAAGGACTCTAAGGACCGAGAAAGCCTGGAGTAGAGAGGCCAGATACTCCTGAGGAATCAGGATCCAAAAGGGCTGACTCCAGGTGAGGCCAGGACGCAGGGGGGAGCAACCTGCAGGGGGAAAAGAGTCCCACATTTCTGGAGGTCCTTCACAATGTGCCCCCTAATTGATCTTGGCAGTCTCATCTCCTTTACCTCTCTCCCCTTCACCACAGCCACACAAAACCACCTGCATTTTCTAAATATGCCATGCCCTTCCACACTTCCCTTTTTCACATGCTATTCTTTCAGGATGGTACCTGCCTCACTCTCGGTCCCCCTCCCATTGCTCGTAGTCAACCGTCAAGACCTAGTTTGTCTAGTTTTCTGTGAAGCCTTCCTGCCATTTTCCCCATGTGGCTGCTGTACCACTTTTTGCACGTGTCAGTTCCGGCTCTCATGCTACTTTGTTGCAGTATTTTATTAACTTGCCTCTCCCTGCTCCCCAACAGTCACCGAGTGTATCTAAGACAAGGACTGTGCCTTATTCAGTCTTGTACCCCAGTCACTTACAATTGTGCTTCAGTGTTGCAGGAACTTCTATTGCTGTGTAACAAGTTACCATGATTATAGCAGCTTGAAACACACACGTATTATTTCACAGCTTCTGAAAGTCAAAAGCCTAGGCATGGAGTGGCTGGTCAGCGTGTCCCTGAGGACAGGGTGTCCCTATCAAGGTGTGAGGCAGGGCTGTGATTCTCAGCTGGAGCTCAGGATCCTCTTCTAGGCTGACTGATTATTGGCAGATTATTAATTTTCTTGACAATGTAGGACTGATGTTCCCATTTTCCTGCTAGCTGTTGGCCAAAAACTACTCTCAGCTCCTAGAGGCTGCCTACAGTTTTTGCCATGTGGCCCCACTAGGCAGTCCACAACGCAGATGTTTACTTCCTTCCAGGCTGGCTGGAACATGTCTCTTTGATTTCCTTGTCTATACTCGGTCAGAGAGAATTCTCTCCTTTTACAGGGCTCAGCTGATAAGGTTGGGCCCAACCATGATAGCCACATAACGAAGCATGATCACAGCAGTATGATTCGTCATGTTCCTGGGTTCCGCCCACACTCACAGGGGAGGGAATACAGGATGAGGGTTCACTGGGGTCAGTTGTGCCTACCACAGAGTTCAATGAATAGCCTAAAGTCAAATAAGATGTGTTCCAGAAACATGTGAATTATAAATACTGCTATTCAGTTAGTTGTTTAAGATTTTTTTCCTCTTCTCTTAGAAGGCTTTCAAAGTTACTTCCTGTTATGTGTTGGCTCCAGAATGGTTGAGGATACCCTATGTGAAATAACATGATACCCCTGCCCTGAGCCCAGGTAGTGCTGGAAATCTGCAGTGGGTGTCCAAACCTGTTTGATAGCTGACTGACTGTGCGACCTCAGGTTAAGTGCCTGAAAATCTCCAACTATCAGATTTCCTCCTTATGTATACAATGAGGGAGTTGGATTAGATAATAAAAATCTAAGGTTGGCCAGCTTTAACATTCCATAATTTCTAACACTAAATCATGTTGATCAAATTTAAATCTAGCCAGGGGACTCACAATGTCCAAATTCATTAAAATAGTTCACAAAAGGATTTCATTATAAATGAAATTACAGTGATGTGATTTTAAGAGGAAAGGGCAGTTTTGTTTTTAAATGAACCTACTCCTATATTGGCCGAACTCAACTAAATATAAATAAGAGTACACAACTACCTTTTTAATACTTTACATAAAATTGTCAAAAATATTTTGTCTTCAGATGACATATCTGCCCAATTATGGTCAGAAGTGAATTTTCCTTAAGATATTAAAACCTGATAAGCTTAACTCAACTGATAACTGAAAAACTATCAAAGGCAGTACTCAAATGTAACAAATAAATTCACGGACTACATGCCAAGCATGTTGAGATTCTTATATACATTTTGGGGGTTTAAGGCTTTCTTTTATGTTTCTCAGATGAAGCTTCTTTGGCTGAGATGATTTTCTTCAACCCCCCAAAATGAGCTCTAATTTTAAACAGGTATTATTAACTTCCACAAAAATAGGCTTCATGCAGATATATTTGTTAAAATAGCCCTTTATTGACTGTGCACAGTTATTAACAATTCACATTTCACTTTATTTACTGAGAGGAAGAGCGTTTATTCTTTCACTACAATGTCAAGCCCTTAGGGCAGCAGCAGGGATGCAGAGCCTTCTTCTATAAACAGCACTGTCCAATGAATGTGAAATGTTTCCATATTAACACAAAGGAGAAACATAAGTAAAACAAATGGGTTTCTCCGGCCCTCCCCCAACCCCTCCCTGCCAATATACTCCTCTTATTTTATAAAATGCCAAAAGGTAAATAGTTCCCGCATTGGTACTTCCATCAGTCAGAAGAGGAGTGTCAACATCTACCTGGCACCAAAGTTTAGAACGTCGTTAGGGCTGTGTGACGGTGACGAAAGGACGGTGATGAAAGGAAATGACCAGGCCGTGGCCATTTCCTCAGGAAGACGCCCGCTGGACAGCGAGGGTGGAAAACCACGTGGGCTTTCATCAGCCTACAGTGCCTTGCTGCTCAAGCTTCCGGAGCTGTTTTTCAAGTTTGGAGATGTTTACTCGATGCATCATCAGAAACTTGCCATTCAAATGAAAGACAGGGATGTCGAATTTATACCTCTCGTACCAGGTGGAGTTTTCTGGCAGGGTGATGTCCACCTCCTGTAAAACAAACTGAAACAGAGACAGACTAAAGCTCTACATTTTAGAAAACACAGAAAGAAGCAATAACTTCAGTGACAAACTGATCCCCAGACTGGTTCTACTGCTCGGAGGGTTTTGTTGTTGTTGTTTATGTGAGGTCCAAAGTGAGCTCAAGTCCCTGATGTCCACAACCTGACTGATTTCATTGTATTCCCTGACTCCTGCTTGTCCTACTTTTCTGTTTATACCTATTACATCCAGCATCCGGCACTTCTTAGTTCCCGATGAAATACAGCGTGTCCCAACTGGGAAGCTTCCTGAGAGTCAGGAAAGACACATTTTGGTTTTCAAAACGGTTTGCTACAGGAGAACATTTCCATGAAAATAACAAAATAAGAGAAAAGGAATAGGGACGAAAGTTTTTAAAAAGCACGAATTCTGCACCTGCTCGTTAACTTCGACTCATATTAGGGTCACAGTAAGGTAACCAGTGCTGCTGGAAGAAAAACACTTGTAATGAGTTGTATGGAAATTAGCACTAAAATCTCTCTCTGAAAATGAGAAAGCTTAAATGAAAAATCATTTAATCTCTTTTCCTGAAGATAGGATCCAGATACCTTATATCCCGTACACTATCCATTCCATATCCATAAAGCCACAGTGTACTAATTACCCTGTTTTTATAAGGCTCCAGAACCTCCTTAGCTTCATCACAAAGGGGGCAGGGATCCTACAGGAAGAAAAAGTAAAGCCATTAAACCCAAGAATGGCAATGCAGGCTGACAGAGACCACAAGCAGCAGACTACACCTACTTTAAAGGACTGTGTCTATGAGGTTAATTGTACTGTTTAATTTCCAAAGTAAAACACTGTCACAGAATCTTATAAAGAGCTAGTATTTTGTGGTAAGTGGGCTCTCAGTATTTTTCAGTTGTTTTGTTTTGATTTTTCTCCATAAATCAATCTATCTATAATAAATTTAGGTGTTTACACTTGTTACACACTCATACACACACATGTACATAACAAGTGTCTATAACTTTATTAGAGATTGATTACAGATATATAGATACATATATACATACACACATATACCATACATGTAGATGATTATGGTTTATGTTACTGGCTTTATCTAAGGGACATCTGGGAAGATTATTTCTCACTGATCTGCACTCCAGGGACTGCCTTCCCGGCCTGGCTGACATCACCAGAATGGCTGAACGTCTGTTTGGAGTGAGGGGCCCTGAGCTTTTCCAGCCTGTTTCTCCTCATCAGTCTACAGGAATAAACCCCCTGGGATGGAGTCAGGTAAGTGAGCCTCATCTTTAAAAGAGAAAATATTTCAGGTGATGGTTTTACCAACTTTTTAATGTTTCATCTGTTTCTCATTACAAGTGTCACCAATAGGTTTCCCAGATAATTCTCCACCTGAGAAAGCAAGTTTTAGTACCTCTTGTTGTTTGTGCTCTGAGCACGCAGTGAAGTCTGTCGAGAATGCTGTGGACCCCTGGAAGATTTTAAAGGCTTCCCAGGCCGCGAGTCTGGGAACAGGAACCAGCTATGGGTTCTGTTGCATGAGCTCAGAATAGACCCACTGTTACTGGTGCTTACGTGAAACCTGCTTTTTAACATGAGAGGAAACACCGGCTCTTATGTAGAAGAAAGGCCCTTCCTCCGACTTAACTCACAGCTTTCTTTAAAACCAGGATTTAGTGTACATTTATTATTCACACATGGAACATATAATATAAAGATTTAATACTGAATAAATGATATTCACTAAGCCAAAAAAGGAGGAATTTACATCAAGTTTTAGCTGCATTATTTGAAATACAAATATGCAGATTTTATCACTGAAAAAAATTTCAGTTGTGTTTCTTCATCAGGAACTTGAACTGAATCTAGAACTTTTTCACACCTCCATTAGAAAGAAAACGAAAACCCAGAAAAAAGTGAACTGTAAGTTGATTGGCTGCTGGGAGAGCAAGGACTTTTTATAGAGACCTGTGTAGCATCATGCCAGAGGGGTGATGTCTGGTAAGAGATTAAATAGCTGCATCTTGCTTTTTGCAGGTCACCAACTTGTTAACTGGTCATACTGTCAAGGTATAGCTGGGAGGGGTACCACACTGTGGGGGTCCAAGGGCATGTACAATGTACGATATCATATACATACATACATACATATATACATGTGTATATATATATATGTACACATGTCCAAGGGCATGTGCAATGTACAAGTCCAAATATATACACACGTGGCTGCGCAGCCACTGAAGCTCACGGTTAAAACCAGTTCTAAGAGGTGATCTCAGGGTTGGTTATTCATACAGTCAAGGAGGAAAGAGGTCAGGGTGTTATATGTTCACATATCATACTCTGGGGGAAAAGCCTTTTCTTTTTCCTTCTTAATGTTCAACCAAAAACATTTTTAAAAGCTTGCGGCTGACCCAGGGTTTTTCCTCTTGTTTCTGAGACGTTATTATTACGACAGTATGTTTACCATGTCAGGTGTACAGTATGGTACATGAAAAGGGTCTACACTATACTGCAGAGGCCTCACAGCGAGTAGGGTTTGTCTGCACCTGCGAACTTCTTGGCTCCTGCCAGACTGTGAATGTACAATAAACCACACACACTTCAGCAGTCACATTTTTGTCCTTCAGGGTATTTTTTTGTGTTTTTTCTTTTTTTAACCATTGAGCACAGTTATAAAATGTGGTATCTTGTTGATGCAAGAACTAGGAAAGACATTTTTATTTTATTTGTTTTTCCCCAAACTCACTGTAAACAACAGTAAGTTTGGTTAAAATTAAAAAGTCTATGTAGTCACAACGTTGTCTTCAAACAGGGCAGCACCCTGAGACTCACAGCTTATTTTGAAAGAAGGAGCCACATCATCAAAACTCAGTTTTCTGCCCTGACTGGTGTAGTTCAGTAGGTTGGGCATCATCCCACAAAGCACAAGGTCACCAGTTCGATTCCTGGTCAGGGCACATGCCTGGGTTGTGGGCCCAGTCCTTAGTAGAGGGATATGTGAGAGGCAACTGATGGATGTTTCTCTCCCTCTTTCACCTTCTTTCCCCTCTCTCTAAGAATAAATAAATTAAATTTAATTTAATTTAAAAGTCAGTCAGTTTTCCATCAGAAGGGTCCTTCTGGCCCTATTTCCATGTTCAGAGAATTAGGCTCATGTAGCTTCTATTAGCATTACCAATAAACAGATTGTAGACAGTCTGTGATGTGTCGAGATAATTATGTTGACATTTTCTGAGAAAGTTTCAAAAAGCCAACAGAGGTTCTAAAAGAAGAACAAGCTAAATTGCAGAAATACCAATTTACCAACATTTTGCTTTTGTAGTAAAAAACTTTAGTAGAGCCTTGATCAGGTTCTTGTTGTGTTTATTTTGTTTAAAACCTGGCGTTTGTCCATGAAGTCTGTGCAAATTATTGTGTGTGTGTGTTTATGAGGAATTGTTCATTAAATTTTAAAATAGTCTGTGAACTGAAAAAGGGTAAGACCCAGTGGGCTGGACCATTCAAATACCCTTGTCCAGGATTTCCCATGGCACCAATAGAGCACCATGTACTCTGGCCCGGAACTGTAGTGGACATTTGCTCCATTGGTTGTCCCACACCCACTCCCCTTTTTGTAGCCAGAATGCTGTGATTTTGCCTCAGGAATTGCTCTCAGCCTGTGCTTGACTCCATCCCTGAAGAATCAACGGTGGAACACCTGACTTGGCCTGAGGCAATCAGCATATCCTATCACTCTGGCTAAATGAGAATGGCTCAGAGATCATTCCAATGACCATAGCTGGCTATGAGGCTTTAGTTTCTGTAGATACCCAAGCTGTGAGGTCTGCAGTCACTTGTGAGAAGAGACAAAGTCAGGACAGATTTAACCCAGAGGATGTGGAGCTGAAGAGATTGGCAACGTGCTTAGTTTCACGATGGAGCTATTCCTGAAACCACACCAACCCATAAAATACCTTTTTTGTTTAATACCTTCTGGGAAGTACGTTATCTGTAACTGAAAGAGGCCTAATACTATGCTCTTTCTCTGTCTGGATTGTGAACTCCTGAAGGTGAGAGTGATAATATATGTCTAACGACACAGATCAAGTGTTCAATACAAAATTTAAGCTGAACAGATGATTAGTGTAGTTTTTTTGCAGATGTTTTTAGCTCACTTGGTGTTGCTCAAACTGAAAAATAGTGCGGAATAGTTAAGCTGAGTGCGCACCATTTGCCTTAAGGGATTATTTTATTTTTGTGGTTAATTCTCACATGCAATTCTCATATACACAGATGATGAAATAGTTTTGTCCCATAATTTCCAACAGTGCAATATATACTTCTGGGTATGAAAAGTAATTTAGAATGACTCTTCTCAATGAGAAATTAATTTTTAAAAACTTCCTAAGCTTTGTTATTAGATAATCATCAAATATTTTCAAATTGTTAAAATGTCTGAAATCCAAAAAATCTGTTAAACACAAGACTTTTTTTTGTTTGAATTGCAGTGCTATTCACTAAAGTTCATTCTACTACCCTGTACTTTGTGTTATTTTTTTATTGTAAATCACACAGAGTAATGTTAACTAGCAAAAGAAAATCAGTAATGCTTGTATTATAAATTTCAGGGGGAAAAGCTCTTAAAAATTTTAAACTACCTCTATACCTCAAACCTAGTGTTAGGAATAAGAAAACAAGTACAGTCAATACTCACTGTTTGTGGGTTCTGTATTTGTGAGTTCATCTATTTACTGAAACTTTATTTGTAACCCTGAGGTCAATACTCGTGTATTTTTTGCAGCCATTCACAGCCATGCACGTGCACAGAGCAGAGCAAATTCTGAGTCACCCCAAGTGCACTCTCCTGGCTGAGGCTGAACAAGTTGATGCTTCTTGTTCTAGCTCACACTTGTAAACAAGTGTCTTCATGCTACATGGTGCTGTTTTTGATATTTTGTTGTTGACAGTGCTCAAAGGCTGTCTAATGTTTCCAAAGACAAGAAGGCTATGCTGTGCCTTATGGAGAAAATATTGTGTTAGATAAGCTTTGTTCAGGCATGAATCATAGTGCTATTGGCCCTGAGTTCAATATTAATGAATGAATGATATATATTAAATAAGGCATCTTTAAATAGAAACACACATAAAACAAGGTTATGTACTGATCAATTGACAATACTGCTGCTAAGAGGAGCTCAAAGGAACCTAACCCCATTTATCCGTAGGAGCAAGGATTCAGTATTTGCTAATTCAGTGTTTGTGGTGACATTTTATTTTTTATATTTTTATTTTATTATTTTATTTTTTCCTCACCCAAGTACCTTTTTTCTTTATTGCCTTTAGAGAGATGAGGGAAGGAGAGGGAGAGAGAGACAGACAGAGACAGAGAGAGACAAAGAGAAACATCAGTGTTAGAGAGAACCATTGACTGGTTGCCTTCTGGTACATGCCCTGACTAGGGACTGAACCTGCAGCCTAGCTATGTGCCCTGACTGGGAATCGAACTCACCACCATTTGGTTTAGGATGATGACGCTCCAGCCAACTGAGCCACACCAGCCAGGGTTATGGTGACTTTATTTACCATAATTATCACAAATAACAAGGACTGACTGAGTTTCTAAATGCTACATTTGTAAACATCACATTATAAACTGATAGTTTGTTCTTTCAATGTAGGGATCTCAGGTGACTACTAAGTATATTAATTTACCCTCTAATTGTGAGAAAATGAGGTATCTGGGTGGGCAAAAGAGTTACTGCTGTTGTTACTGAAACTGAAAAACTGAGGAGCAGGTTGAAAAATGTTTATTCCTTTACTTTCCTTTAGAAATTTTTCTTTATTTTGTTCACCTAACAATTTTAATACTTCATGTTTTTAAAGTAGTACTTTTACTTTTTTACTCTGTACCTTTGTGAATAAGGTCAGCACAGGTAGAACAGTTTTAGAGGCAGAGAGATTTCTCAGGAAGGGTCGAAAGCAGTATTTGGCAAGTTGCATACTATTTCCTTGAAACCAGAGCATCTTATTCCTGCCAAAAGAAAAACAGAACAGTAAACTCGTGTGCCCTAGACTTTGCTCTTTATAATATGAACAATAAGCCACAGCCTGTGATGGAATGTGAAGACTTCAGAATTGCTTCTTAAAATCCAGGAGTATCGGAGAGGCCCAGATGCTTAGCAAGTCTCCACCACGCATCCACACTAACTGTATTCCAAACAAAACCAAATTCAGGACGGGTAACAATCCATGTTTATAGATTAGCTGTGCAACTAATCATTTGGTTTCTGTAAGCAAACTGCATGGGTTTCTTCATTTGAATACAAAATTAAGTTTCACCTGCAGATTTTGCCAGCATCCTGACAATCCTCTAAAATGTGGATGTTTCCTGAGATGGTTTTTATTCTCCAAGATCTTATTACCAAGCATTCACCAACACCCATCCACTATCAGGGTAAAGGAAACGGTGAGTGAGCAGCCCAGGCCCCCAGCTGAAGGGTAAGGCTGTCATTTATGAGATCCACACCTTTCTGCTGCAGGAGATGGGAACACGCAGAGTCGTACTTAGAGGGACTACAGACTGTAGGGAGAATGAGAAACAAAAACTACTCAACTCCTTAAGAAGCACTTAAAAAGCAGATTGCCATAATTTTTGAAAACATACACAAACATGCTAGTGTTTCTTCCTGGAGATATTCCAACAAAAGCAGTTGGATAATAGCAACCTGTCAAACACTAGGATTTGAAGCTCCCTCGTTCTGCTTCTTTGTTCGACATAAGATACCCTACTTATTCCTAGTTATTCCACTGAGCTTCCAGCTTTTTCCTTGAAATTACAAATACAATCTCATTTTTAAAACACATAGACACTGTTGTTTTATTATTTACCAATATTCCCAAGATGAATTCATTCCTGGAATTTTCATAACTTCACTTTCTCTCTCCAACTTCGTCTATTACCTTCCCCCACTTTTCTTGGCAAGTTGCAGCCACAAAGATTCTCTTTCTGTTCCTTGAATGACCAAAGATTATTTTTTTTCACCAGGATCTATGCACTTGCTGTTCCTCTGTATGAAAAGCCCTTAAGTAGCTTCTTCTCATTTGGCCTGGGCTCATGTCCCCTCTTTAGAGGTGGTTCAGTGACTGTCTTACAATTATTATTGGTCAGCCCACCACTCTCCTTCATACCTTGCTATAGTTTTCTTTTATCCTCCATTATCTAAAATTATTTCTTTACCTATACATCCCTTCTACTATAATGTGAGTTCCATAAGAACAAGTACTTGTTCACCTAGTATCTCTAAGCATCTACAATTAACCTGGCACATAGGAGGTGTCATGTTATTTGTCTGAATGTTAAAAGTATTGAAGAGAGCCTTTCTCCCGCTCTTAACACTCTTCTCTAACTGCGATCAGATATTCAGCGTGCACAGTAGTCACAATGTGGGCTGATCTCGTACCATAACTAAAGGTTAGTGCCCCTCAGGTGTCCACGAGTGAGGGTGCTGTAGCTGGTTCCAACCCCTTCCCCACCACCGAGAATTTCCCTCTGCTCTGCTCCATAGCACAACTATTAATTACATGCTTATCTCTGCTGGTGACCAGGCTTCTCAGTATAAAACTAGTCTTAAACTCATTTCATTCAGAATTATAGGACTTTAGAGATAAACAGCAATCCATATCAAACTAGAATAAAGACCATAGGACAAAAAGATTCGATTCTAATCTATGAAAACAATAGTCTTTCTTTTACTCTTAAACCCTTAGTCTTCTACTTCTCACTCAATCTTCCTGCTAACTAAATGATCATGATAACGTATAAAAAAAGCAATGTAATGAGAATTTTGCAAGGATCTGCTACCCAGCATTATTCCAAGGTGGAAAGTAGATCTAAATAATTTCACAATATGCTGTGCCACTCTTATCTAAGTGTGAAGCCCGATACACACATTTTCCATAAATTCAGCAGAATCAGCAACTCCAAAAGGTGAATGTGGTTGGAGACAACGGGTGCTAATCACGGCGTCGTCTACACAGAATATGAATGAGGGGGGAGAAGTAGAATGTTAGCCATGTTTGTACTAGGCAGAGATTTCTGCATCATTGGCTCTGGGAAGGCCCTGTGCCCACAGGAGCATAGCCTCACAGGGTATGAAGTTAGGGAAGCTGTCTTACCTGGAGAATAAGGGAAAATAAAAATTAATTTTGTTATAGTAAAGGCAGAAAGACAGCCCTTGGAATGAGAAGGACTGGCTATCTATGACAGTGATGTGAGACTTTACCTACCCAAGACACTGACTGCAGCTATGTTTTTGATGGAAGGATTTAAGATTTATTGATGTCTGCCTGGTACGAAAGGAAAATGTATTGCTTTTACCTACCTGAGTTGAGACTGAGGTGTTAAGACTTAAAAAAAAATCACATTCACAGTGGAAATCTGCTTCAGTATTTCCAACATGACAAAACACAGCATGTGGTCTTGGTTGCGCCCAAGACAAATAAAGGCTGTCATTGTAAACAGTTGCTATTCATTCCAGATTTGCTGGGATATTTGTTCAACCAACCCAGAGAGCTAAGTAAAGTCTTTAGTGATGTTACAACCATTCTATTTAAAACTAGTTCTTTTTTTCCCCACTGTTTGTCTCCACTTCTACTTTTTTTACAGGTATTTAATCACTTGAACATGGCATATTTGTTTACTGAGAAATGCACTAGCATTATGTAATTTTACTATCTGCATATTTTCCGAATGCTCCAAGGCACATGCATTTTACCACATTATTCAATTAACTTATTTCTTTATATAACATTATATTAAAGTCTGATATAAATAAAAAACTCCACATGCCTCACCTAGACAAAAGTAAGACATTAAGGCTAAAATTGTGAACACTGGAGTCCACTTAGTTCTAGAAACGCAAAGTAAAATGAAAAAACAATACACTCCAATTGGAACTCTATAATACCGTATTTATTAGACTATAAGATGCACTCCCCTGCAAATTTGGGAGGAAAGGGGGGTGTGTCTTACAGTCTGGATGTAGCTTACCTGGCTTACAGTAGGGGGGCTGGGTGGTGGAGTGGGGTCACAGGTTATTAAATATTTTACCATGTTTTTTGCTTCAAAAATTTTCCCCCTATTTTCCTCCTCTAAAACCTAGGTGCATCTATCTTATGGTCCAGTGCATCTTCTAGTCCTAAAAACACAGTACTCTTGTTGGACTATTTTATGACTCTGTAAACCCTAAAACCAAGGCTGTAGGTGTCACGTTCGCCTAATCATGCCTTCTTCAAGTAAAATCTTAATACGGCTACTCTATCAGTGTGACATTTTCATTAGTTCTATTATTTTTGAACAGTATCTGAGCACTATAAAAATATTCTGAAAGGCGGTGTCTGCCTGTTAGCACATGACTGTGAGAGGACAACACCTTTTGATTATGTCATTGAATTTAGTCATGAAATATGTGTCCTCGCTACACGGAGGCACAATTTTATCCTTTGTATTTTATTATATGCCTCTGTGATATGAGCAAAAAGAGCTGTGTTCATAATATCAAAGCAGCACAATTGGGTCACCTTTGTCACAGACAAAAAATATATAAAGCAAAAGGCTTATGACTGGATTTAGAATGTGCCTAAAACAAATTGCACAGCCGAACAATAAAGATGGGGACTCCTGCTGTTTCAAGTCCACTGCCCCTCAGAGGCACATCACCCTGACAGAGAAAGGGAGTGCTGGCTTTTCAACAAAACTGAGGCTGGCTTCCGTGGTCTTTATAGCAGAATCAAGTACAACAGAGGGGGAGGACTGATTGGACCAAGTCAGCACTCCTTGAAGCAAGATGAAGATAATGCAACTTTGTAGCATTTTCTCTGGGAAGCACTGAAGGCATACCATTAAAGCAACTGAGTATAGTACAGAAAAGAGCCAGGGTCATTTGAACCTGTATTAAGGATTATTCTTTTCTTATATGGGATGCTGCCCAGACTATGGGTGCACACCACTTATGTGGAAGTCTTGGATTCTTCAAACACTGTGTGTGTCTGAGTAGAAGGGAAATAACATTGTTCTCACTTGAGCAGAGAAGCTGACCTTCACTGACCAGAATTTTTATTTGTACAAAGAATCCTTTGGCATGCCAAATCTCCAAACTCATATAATCCCTCATCAGTAAACTGAGTGTTAGTTCATGTGCAAAATCAGAAAGTTCATATAGGCCCAAGTACCACCTTAGTTATTAACAGGTAATGTTGGAGCTTCTTCACAAGAGTATAATGTAAATTTAATGCTGAGCTGACATTAACCAAACACTATTACTGTAGTTCTCACTGAATCTGTGTTCCATAAAGAGAGGCTCAGGGCTTCCATTTAGCCATTTGTGCCATGTGAGTTAAGTGCTCATTTCACATTCATTATCATCTAAGTGTAATATTCCTATTTTTACCCAAATGAATAGAAAGACACATATGCATGTATGCACACACGCACACCTATCGGGAACAAAACCCATTATTTTAGATGACTGAAAGTTTATTATGTAATGGGGTGAGGTCACTCTTAGGGACTCATCTGGGTCACTAGCCTCTACCTAATCCAAGGAACAGGGACAAATGAATCCTCATCAGTGCTGTTACATCTTTTTGGTCAGTCAGTTCTGTCCAAAAGTCCCTTTTCTCAAACAAATGGGAGCTTAACATGAGATCTTGGCAAGTATGGAGCCAAGAGTGATAAGGAGAAGCAGCTTTTAGGCATACAGCCAAAGCTGAAGACTGAGCAGATGCTTTAGGATGTCAACGTCAAGGAGCTAAGCAGGGCTGGAATGAGGCTATAGAACAGAAGCAAGGAGTAGAGGGGGGAAGGCCTAGCCTGCAGGGGGCTCCTCGCTCACTGGCATGGGTGGGATCTCCAGTACTTTTCCACACTTCAGCCTCAGGAGTCAGGTACCTGGCCAAGGGAACTGCCCAAGAGGTGGTGCCAACTCAGATAAGAGGTTACAACAAAGACCCTGAGCTGACTGCCCACCTGTG